AATCAGCAAGGGTGGATTTTTCCACTGGTACCTCATTCACCAAATTTTCACCTATCTTCATGTATCTTGACAGAGTTACACACACACACAAAAGCAACATTTGGGGTGAACGAATCTACTTCCACTTTTTCTATTCACCTTCTATTCTTTACAGATTAATGAAATGTCCCTTTCCTGAAAAGTTAGCCAGCCAAAATTCCTTGCAAAACAAAGACAGTGAGAAGACGATCAAAAGCGGGAGCAACAGAAGAAGAAAGGCAAAGGGAAAAAAGAGAGCGGGAGAGAAAGATCGATATAGGTTCGTAAGAGACGTCCAAATTTTGGCTTCTATGAATGCGCTAAAAAGGTTCTAAATTAGTGTACGTCCAATTTAGCAGTCTTGTGTTGCAAATCTCTTTTTCAGCCATTCGCACATCATGCTAACTGGCTAGCCTCAGTAATCGGCTCCTGCTAGCCTGTATAACAGGCGTGCGTTTTTCAGGCGAGCGAAGGCAAGCCCGAAGCCGGAGCGAATGTAAGCGCGAACAGCGTGAGGAGCGTCATTAAGGGGTAGGTCTGGGGCGGAATGCAACAAACAATGGTATGTGGACAGGCCGTTGTTTTTTCTGCGTCTTCCCCATCGCGCTTGTCTGGCGCTTCTCACTCACTTCGCGCTTGCCTTCGCTCGCCTGCAAAAACGCGAAAAAAATAAGGCCTGTTATCCAGGCTACTAACTGGTTGAAAACCGGTCCAGAAAGGCTGGGTTTTGTTCCACTAAAATTGGCCATCAAAAAAGAGTTAAAGGGGCTATGCCAAGCTATTTGCTAGTTCATTTTAAAAACCTAATATAGTCTTCATTTCACATCAATTCAGTTCAAAAATAATGGTCCAGTTTTGTTATGTAAGACTATATTTAGGCACGGTCTGTTGCTACTAATAGCCAGGATGGACATGGACTGAAAATTGAAAAAAATGGGCCAACTTTTTCAAGTTTTAATGCATCGCCCAAAAAGACATTTTTGGTTAGTGCTCCCTTATAAAATGATATCTTCTTCATACCCCACATGTAACTCTACACTGAACATTTCTTGACTGGGTAAAGGCAGTAAGTAATGACTTTAGCACAGAATCAGCCTAAAACAACAAATATACTCGCCACATAGGGCCTCGATTTGGGGTCTTCTTTCCCTTTTGTCTGAAGCTCTTTCCTTCTTTACTTTGGGAAACGGTTAGGCGTAAATAAAACCGCCGATGCCACTTACTTACCTCGTTATGTTATTTAGCTCCTTAGTCGCTATCAACTACCCTGCGAGCAGAGGCCCTTCGATCTTCATAGATAAGTTGGGAAGAGGAAGAGAAGGGTAGCTACCAACTAAATAATAATTCGATCGGACGTTCCGATGTGAAGGCGCGAGCTGGGACATTGCGGGAACTGACGTTAATACTCCTGAGCAAAAGCAGACATTTCTCTGAACAAAACTTGGGTCTGTTGTAAACTGAGAATTGTAGTCAAGTTACGCTTTTACTCTGCGTTACCTTACTGCCCGGTTAGTAAATGGTACTTACGTCGATACAAGTTCGTTGCCGCATACTGCGATATGCCAGGGGCGTCAAGGATGACCTTTCTAATACTTCTCTTTTCAAGATGATGCTACGTTTTGCAAGCTCTCGACATGGGTGGGAGTTGATTAGAGCAGCTCAAAAGAGGTGAACAAGGAGTCTTATCTTCCATGGACAAATCCTAGTCGCATCGTCGTGAAAAGGATTTACTCTGTTGGAGTACAGTTGAACCTCCATGTACGACTACCTCCCTTAAGCGACCACCTATCCAAAACACTAAAACCCACCCAGTTTAAGTCTTCTAGCTGGAATCTCTCCTGCAAGCGCCAGCAACCACTAATTGGGGCTGACGGTTTAATGATTTTGCATTGTTTTTAAACTCTTGTAAACGATCCCTTGTGGTAGAAACAACATCAACAAGGAACTGCACATATCGTAACTTGGAAATTGCATGCAATAAATTCTCTTCCTTAAAGTAGATGTGTCCGCGATTTTCTTCTCAAAGAAACCTCCCGTGGTTCGATTCTCGTAAGAGACCACCTCCCGTTAGCGACCACTAAGTCTTCGCATTTTGGGTGGTCGCTTTCGGGAGGTTCGACTGTAGTCTCCTTTTCCAGTTCTTCGGCGGCGTCGGTTGGAACTTGCTTTGTTTCATGAGTTGCGCGTATAGATTTACACACTAAGGCGCTGCTACATTATATTTTGAAATCACTGAACAAATATTCTTTTGTATTTGAAGGAAAACGCCCCTTGGAAGGTGGTACAACTCCGAGATGACCTAAAAAGGGCGGTTTTTGCAGGAAAGATGTTTCGGATTCGTTTCGGAGGAGAGAAACCGCTGGACCGTATGAACTACGATGACTTAGCTGTTTCCTAGGGCCTTTGGTAGCTGCCTAATTATACCTCTATTTGTGAAAAAGTAAAAAAAATAATAAACCAAGGGACGGTTTGTTGTTTGTAA